GCTTCCGTCGGGGCACTCTGCCCTAAAGCCCCGACTGGTGGAGGGCTGCAGTGATGGTTGACTTTCTTTGACTTTCTACAACTTTCTCCCATCTCCCGACTGCATCTCTGGAGCTCAGCCACAGTCATCTTTGGGTTCTTCTGTACCTCTCTCACCAAGGCTCTTCTCCCCCGATAGCTCAGTTTGGCCGGACGGCCAGCTCTAGGAAGGGTTCTGGTCGTCCCAAATGTCTTCCATTTAAGGATTATGGAGGCCACTGTGCTCTTAGGCACCTTAAGTGCAGCAGAAATTTTTTTTTGTAACCTTGGCCAGATCTGTGCCTTGCCACAATTGTGTCTCTGAGCTCTTCAGGCAGTTCCTTTGACCTCATGATTCTCATTTGCTCTGACATGCAGTGTGAGCTGTAGGGTCTTATATAGACAGGTGTGTGGCTTTCCTAATCACGTCCAATCAGTATAATCAAACACAGCTGGACTCAAATGAAGGTGTAGAACCATCTCAGGGATGATCAGAAGAAATGGACAGCACCTAAGTTAAATATATGAGTGTCACAGCAAAGGGTCTGAATACTTATGACCATGTGATATCTCAGTTTTTCTTTTTTAATAAATCTACAAAAATGTCAAAAATTCTGTGTTTTTCTGTCAATATGGGGTGCTGTGTGTACATTAATGAGGAAAAAAATGAACTTAAATGATTTTAGCATATAGCTGCAATATAACAAAGAGTGAAACATTTAAGGGGGTCTGAATACTTTCCATACCCACTGTAAATGCCAGTGGTAGGTTTTCAAGGTCAAGGTACCATATTTGGAGGATCAAACTATCATGGGAATATTGCTTTTAGGTATGTGGCATCATGGGGAAACTGAGCTGCCTTGGCAGAGGTTTGCGCTCTCTAGTGTTGTCTAGTTGTTTGCGGTTCTAATGATGCACACAAATGCTTTCATGTCATCATTCAGACCAGTCAGAGGAGCACAAACAAAAACACAAAGAAGGAAAAATGACATTCACATCAATCACAATGACAAAATGACAATCGCATTAGCTTCTGTCTCTTAATGTCTGACAATTAACATCAGTGGTAGTTGGGAACTGCTGTGACCTTTTAGTTTGTTTTCATCAAGAGAGAAATAGATTTTAAAATCACCCACTGTACAAATAAAGAAGAATAGAGAGGTAGCTGTCTGAGATGGCTTTTGTAGTGCAGTGTAAGTGGTGTCGGAGAATTTAGTTACAGTATTTACTAGAAACACTTTACTAGATTTAGCCTGACATAGTTTTAATTTGGTCCTTAAACGTCTCAAGTATAAAAAAAGTATTTGTCCTATTTACATTAAGAAAAGCCACCTTACATAATGCAACTATTTATGGAGGCCTTCAGTCCTGCACATTGTTTTCAGAGCTTCACCTGCTGTCATACCTGAGAAACTTTCTTTGATGCTCACTCATTGACATTACTTTTTTAAAATCACCTTCACCTGAAATACTGCAAGGTGGTGCCATTGGTTTATATAAAATGCAGTTACAATCAGATTATCTTTTGCAATCAGTTATATTATTATCCATTAATTAGATTATTTAATAAGCTGGTAGGCTCTTCAAAGTTGAGGAGGAAGGCTGCACAGTTTGAGCTTGTGACATCTACAGCCTTCCCAGAGCCATACTGTGCTCCTCTGGCTTTATTATGCAGAGGTAGACTGACCTATGATGAAAGCTGAGACATGCTCTAGCCTCCAAAATTGTAAACACAGATATCCTCCAACAACTGGCTGAAGGGGAAAGTTAATTAGGGCCCCGTCTTTGGGGTAAAACACTACCATATCTTTTCCTGGTTTAAAGTGTCGTAGTTGGTTATTATTAGACCAAATGAAGCCTTGTGTTTTGCTCCTCCTTAATGACAGTTTTTTTTCTTTTTTTACTGGAGCTTCCCATATCTCCTCCTCACTAATTCGTTCCTCTCATTAATCTTTTGCCTTATTTTAGCTTTTTATTCTCATTTCACATTCATGTTTCAAGGTTGACATTACAAACATTTTTACAATCTTGTGACAAAGTAGCACAGAGGAGTTGATATTTCACTATTTCAACAATTTTAGATTCAAGTATATGACTTGAGTTTGCTTTGGAGCAAAAAGCACATTCTCTTTCTGGCTTTATGACCGTCTTATACTTTATAGGTAGTCGTTAATGAAGTATCCAGACTCTGTTCTTAAATTACACATGCCGCAGGCTGACACATTTCCTGGAGTTTCTCAGGAAGAAACTGTGACATTATATGGTAACATTTATTGCTCACCTTTTCTCCTGAGACTGAAAAATTGGACTGTAAATCTGTGATATTTTAAGATAAACAATGATGGAGGAAAGGAGGAAAACTGTAATTTAGCAGTTACTACTTTGCACTGTTGCCAGTCTGAAGAAAGGAAGTGCCTTCTTAAAATGTAAATACTGCCCCATCACAGTCCATTGTTTCTCAAAAATGGCTTTAGCAAAGAATGTTAAAGCTGTTAATTTTCTACTGGACATTTTCAGCTGATGAACTCTTGACCCAATGCTTACTTTTAATTTTATATATTAAAAAAAGCTACAGATTGGTTTTTGTTTTGGATAAATCATTTCTCTTAATCTGAATATGAGCTTTCTTACTGTGTCTCATCTTAGAGCACTGTGGAAGAATCCAGCTCAATTATAGTTGTGGTCACCTTCAAATGACAGGCCTCATCTGTCACCAGCTCACCCAAATATTGCATCTGCAGTGCTATACATCTCGCTCACCATCTCCTCTCTTCCTCTATCCCTGGTGTCTCTCTCTTCGCAACCTCTGGCTTTCATTCTGCGCTCCTCTTTCCTTCCTTCTATTTCATTCCCCGATTGTGGTGACGTTCCTAGTGCCCTCTCCTCCCTTGTCGTCACCCCCCCCTCTCTTATTCTCTATCTCAGTGTGTCTGCTGTCTTGTGTGGTGCTGCAGGGTTCTCTGGCTGATGTAATTTATGCTTTCCCCTTTGCTAGTGTGAAAAGAGAGTGTCCCGAAGCCAGCACTCTTCATGGCAGAGCGCTCCTGTGGGAGGCTGTGAGCCAGCACTGACTGAGCTACTCTGTCTCTGCCTTTCATCATCCTTCTATACACAATGACCATGCATATGAAAAAGACTTAATTTGCATAGTGGAGGATAATTACAAATATCATATAGTAGCTGTCAGCTGCAAAGGAAATCAGATTTGATATCACTATAGGTATCAGTTCTGTCGCCAGTGATTACACCAAAATGTAGTTTAAGTGAAGGCTTGATATGCAGTGTACACATGGGAATTTATTTATTTTTACATCTTCTTAATCAAATCCATCTGGAGTCCCTAGACAGATCGAACTTATAGCAGCAGTAAACACAGGCTTTCTAAACATGAAAAGAGTTGATGTTGACTAAATGTGTGTTTGTGTGGTTGCAGGACTACAATCCATTTCTATGACGACAGAGAAGACTTCGGCTGGGGTAATGAAGAGTGCGTTGGAGGGTGACGCCAGGAGGACCAATCAGGTGGGAGCGCTGTGGAACTTACAGCAGCTGTAGATCACTTTACTCAGTCCTCTCAATCAATCAGGGGCCTTCAGGCTTTTTGTTTAACATGCAAGGCAGCTAGCTTCCTTTGCCTGTGCCAGCAATTCAGAGCAGCAGCTCGCACTATATCATGCATTTGATGATTGCTTTACATGATCAAAGATTTTGAATTGAAATCATAAGGCCTTTTGGGAATCAGGAATGAATTATTTAAGTGCAAGACAAAGTACAGTGATTTGAAGCTCAGGATTTTCTCTTTCCCAGGTTCCTGAGGACCACGGGGAAGTGGATGATAGCTCAGAGAAGACCCCCAGCAAAGCCTCCAAATCCCCCCAGAAAAGCAACAAGCGGCCAAAGACCGTCCCCGTCAAAGTCACTCTGCTTGACGGCTCAGACTATGAGACTGCAGTTGAGGTACGCTGCTCACTTTTTGTCAGCGAGCGATGGAAAAAAATGGCTCATCAATCCATGCAGAAGGATTTGACTACGAGCATGTGTTTAAAAAATGATTACATATTTGCTCTTATTGTCATAATTTTGGACACCATTTATATCAGGTATAGCATTTTACTCACCAAGTAAGATCTGGGACAATGTTTAAAAAAATAGGACATGACAAACGAACAGGTTATCCAAAGTTGATTGATAAAGAAAAAGAATGAACAATAGAAACTTCACCCAAACTGTTCATTTCTTACAGATTGAGTTACTTATTAACACTTCAGGTCTCAGGCATTTTCAATTTCTGCATAAGAAAATCTGAGTGCACATGTTGGAAAAAGTAACAAAAGAATTTGTCTCACTCTGTCAAACTTTGTTTTATGGGTAGTGCCATGCTCCCAAATCTCACAGTGGGTTGGTATAAAGCTATCATAATTGATAACAAATGATGAGCAAAACTGCAGAAACCATTTAAGCTCTTTTGATCTTCACAGCTAAATCCTCATCTTCCTTTCTAAAGATGTCCTTGAGTAATTGTTTCACCATTTGCAATTCAGCAAACATGCAGAAACATACTGCAACAAGAAAACAAAGGTTGCAAAATGTTCCTTCCCAGTAAAATGCCCACATCCTTGAAATTCATCTCCTGCTTTGCATGTTACAAAAATATACAGCATTATAAGAAGCTGGTGTACATCTCCCTCATTTGAATGGAATCCTTGACTCAGCACACCACATCACAGTACACCTCAGTGGGCTTTCGTCTCCCTTGGTAATACATGCCACTGAGTCAGGAAATGCTGTTCTATGCTATTCTCACTGGGGGTGGTGGTGGGGGTGGTGGTGACGGATGGAGGTGGATGAGATGAGCTCTGCACTATGGGGGATGGAAAGTTCAGATGAGCAATCTCATGTATCCATTGTGAAGCTATAGGTGTTTTTTTGTTTGTAAACAAATCAGTATAGCTCAGGAAATCATCACCTCTCCTGGTTTATTTGAATTTTACGGTAGCCTAGATGCTGATCAAGAAGAAAATTAATCTGGACATGAAATGACTTGTAAGGAAGAGCAAGTGGTGTCAAAGAGGGCCCCACACCAGAGGGAGATCCTGGGCAGGGTTTTCAGAGGAGTTGCATGAATCACATTTAAAGCCAGAACTCAAATCCCATTGGCAGCTGCTGATGATGGAGAGTGGTGGAAATGTTTTTGTTGGCTGCTTGACCCCATTCAAGTCAACTGCGTTCCTTGTGACCTCACATATTTTACTTGCAAGAGGCAGTAAGTGGAAAAATGTCAGGAGTCCTCTCTCTCTCTCTCTCTCTCTCTCTCACACATACATACATACATACATACATACATACATATTCTCCTTCAGCTCAAACCCCCATCTTTCTTTATGTCTTGGTTACATGCATGCAAAGACACACACACACACACTCACTCATTTCTACATGTCACCTGGGTGGTGACACTAGATGTACTGGGCTTTGACAGGAAATCTATAGAGTTGACAGATGAGTACTTTTATATTTGACCGGGGAGAAAATATAAAAAGAGAAGGAGAAAAAGATGAAAAGAATGGGGGAGGAGGTGAAGAGGAAGATGAAGAGGCAGTATATATGAGGAGTGCCTTGTGTACTGTTTACCTACTGTATGGCAGTGTGTATATTACTATGTCTGCAATGGAAAAAAGGCAAGAGGGGACACAATGAATTCATTACTTTAATTGCAATTGTGATTTCCACTGAACAAATGGGCTGTGATAATAAAAACAGAAGGGAGCAGCTACAGTATTGATGCTGCTTTTGATGATAGCTCACAATATTATAGGTACTGATTGAGCTCAGTGTGTTTACATTGTCCATTCCTTAGCTATTAAAGCAAGAGCCACCACCTGCTTACAGGAGGCTGCTTCGCTGCACACAGGCTCACGTGGAAAAACATGGTGCATTCATTTAACCACAGGACTTCAAATTTGCTCTTTATTATAAAGGTGCATCTGTTTGGAGTCTTCTTTGCTGAATTCAGGGCATTCTGTGCTTCAGTTATTTCACTGCTCAGCTACAGATGCTGACTAGCTAAGAGGTACTTCATTCACACAGTGCAGAGGGAAATTTAAAAAATTGCTCTTATGCATTTATCCTTATTCCATCCTGTACAGACACTATTGAATTGTTTCCTTTTCACATTAGCAGCCTGAATAGAAATAAAAAAACTTGAATATTTCTGACCCAAATCATTTCAACTGTTTTCTTTTTCAGCAGTGTGCAGCAAGCATGCAATAAAAAGTCATTGCTGCACACTCACATTCGAAATGCATCCTTGAGGAGAAGCCTCCAGTTCCATAAATGTGAGGTTTATGCGATCATGTGGTTTATACGTTAAAGCCATTAAAGATTCATGATACTGGGACCGAGCTCCGCTTCCTTGAAAAAGCTCGAAGGATGATGAAATCAGTTTATCTATATTCTGTATGATTCGTCCTCATTATAGCAGCGCCAATTTAAGATGCATCCCTACACAGCCCCCTCTCTGCAGCATCTGCACAGTCAGCTGCAGACCAGAGCTCTGACGGTTCAAATGAGTTCAGCATTTTGTTCAGTGCAACTTCAGAACATACTCCTGCCAACACTACAGCTCAGCTTGTCTGGTTGATGGGCAGTTTTTCTACTGTTCTACACTGCTCAAGAGAACGTTTATTGCACTTTGAGCTGAGACAGTGCAGTTTATCAATACTAGAATTGTTTAGGAACTTAGATATTTTTACAGGTTTTTTTTTTTTTGTTTTGTTTAGGTAGATAGGAGGTAGGGTGGGTCATCTGTTAATTACAGCATTTACGCTTTGATCCCCAGCTCCTCCTGTCCATAGATCCATGTATCTTTGGGTAAGACACTAAACCGTCTTAACTTAAGGGGTCAAGAGTCAAGCCTGGTTAAAGCTATTAATAAAATGATATTCCAGAGAACATTTAGTCCAGATACCTTCAACTATTGCATTTGAAATTTTTATTTGACTGAGGTCGTTGCACCTTATGGTATCCCCGAATATGACAATATGATGTTGCTTAATGTATACACTGTGAAGTACAACACTGTTTACTTCAGCTGAACTGGGCTTAAAAACTGGTATGACTGTGAAATTAAGAAATAAATTCTTGAGCCAATGTCACCTTTTTACTTTATGCTGCGGCGGCGTTTTAAGCTTAATTGTATGCATCATGAATACTCCTACTGAGCCTGTGGAAATGGTGCATAAAGTATTGTGATCGTCAAGGGAGCATTCTGAATTATGAAAAATAACCCTGCCTGCGTAATGGGTGTTTATCAGTGAAAGATGTTTTAGGAATTTTAGAAGACTGATCAGTGTAAAAAAAAAAAAAAAAAAAAAAGCTGCACTAATACATTGCATAACAGAAGTTACACCGACTCAGGCTACCTTTACTACATGTACATCTTTGCAGATATTGCATAACTACTTGAATCCACAGTGCAGTTTCTGTACTTGAATTAGTTGACTAAGTTCACAAGATTCACTTTTCTCCTCAACCAGCCATGAACCCATTCACATATACACTTTCTTTCCTCATTTTATTTTTGTGGATGAAGTGATCAGCAAAATGGATTTCTAGGATTACACCAAATGGCTGCTAACACAATCAGCCCACAGAACTAGTTACAGAAATGTGATTGGAGCCAATTGGAGCGACAACAAAATCTCATCAGCGGCTACTGATTTGGTTGCTATGCTTGGGGGACCACCTCAGATGTGTGCTGCAATTTCATTTTGTTGGAAAATCGAATATATGTGTTGCTCCCCGAAAAATCTCTGCAGCCTCTGCTTGTTAATCATCATAATTTCTTCGCTACTTTGCCCCAGGCAGCCTCAGTGCAGCAGGACTTTTTTTTTTTTGATGAGAGGCAAGATGACTTCATAATGGTTAATTAATTAGCCTCTTTTAAGATTTTAAAGGTATTCTGACTGGATTGCCAGCTTTTCTTACAAGGGTTGTACAAAACTGTGTGATGTCCTTGTAGTGACTAGAGACAGAGAAAGTGAGAGGGCACACGCATACATAAGGGACCTATTACTTCTGTTTCTATGGTAACAGCTGCTTGGCTGCTTTGTCACCATAGGAGCCAGGCTTCCCTAAGAGATGAATCTGGTGTGTGCATGGAAATAACATTTTGCCAAGGCTGTCTGTGCAACCCGCACAGGCCTCATTTTCAACCCTCAAGGGCTAGATAGAAAATTTGTGGGCGTGTTCTGCTGAAGCGCCAGTGCAAATTCATTCCTCCCCTTAAATAGGTATACGGAGCATAGCTCAACGTGGGAGAGGATGCACTGGAAGCAGCTCTCAGAACACAGTTGGGGTGGATTTTTAGGTCATTCATATTTTTGACTCCTCTTTTGTCTTTTACAATGCATGGTGTTCATCCAGCCTAGACCGGCATTGTGTCATGTTAATTTTGTGTTGTCTTATACTGCATGTGTGTAACAGAAATTTGCCAAGGGCCAAACCCTGCTGGACATGGTGTGTGGCCATCTGAACCTGCTGGAGAGGGACTACTTTGGCCTGACTTTCCAGGACGCAGACAATGCCAAGGTCAGTCGCACAAAAACACTAACAAACACACATCAGAATAATATACCTGGGATCATTAATTAACTTGTATTTATTTTAAGATCTGTAACTGAACCTCTTTTAGCTTGTGCCAAATGCAGCTGCAGTTAAACCAAACAATAATTTGTCCCCAATCAAAATCTATCCTGAACCAGCTGGTATGAAGTCCAAAACTTGTTTCCAAATGTAGCCTATGAGAGACCTTGCACACACAAATGAATACATGCATATTTTACCCATTAAACAAGCTAAAATGTCAAATGTGCCCCATTTCTGCAAATTTATCATTTAAAGCACTTTGTGATGACTTTTCATAGTAAACTTCAGTTCTGACCTGTTCATGATGCCGTTTTTGTTATTTTATAGAAACAATAAAAAGTTTAATTAACATAGTATTTACCTTTCATTACACCAGTAAAGTCCACGGGCAAATACAGCATGTGTTGACAGTGAATGGTTTGTTGGATGCGTGTTTCCTTATTGTTGCTTCAGAACAAATGTCAACCAGCCGATTTAACCAGAAGTTTTTTTCCAGGTGTTTTAAAGCAGTGAGTGCCTGGTTGGCCTTTGAGCTGTGCTTAACCACTTGCAGCCTGAGAGTGGCGTACATGGCCTTTAACCTTTTAAAATGTGATTAGACAGTTTGGCCTTTTAAAAAAATGGTGCACAGGGTCCATGGTGGGCTATCAAAGCTCTAGTGACATTAAGCAGAGGGAACTGGATTCATCTGGCATTTATAGCCCCAATATTGATGCTTTCAGTGTTTGTCATCCATTTTCTTGTAGCGTGAATATATTTGGCTCTCAACTAGGGAATAGATCAGAAAAGTGAAGAGCAGCCAGTGAGGTACAGTACTTAAACGGCTCTTAAAGATGTGAATATGGATTATTTTTCTGAGGTCTAATTTCTCAAAGAAGATTGTCTCTTTCTTTCTTCATCAGAATTGGTTAGATCCCTCCAAAGAGATTAAGAAGCAGATTCGGGGTAACTGCAGCAGACACACACTCGCAGTCTGTGCAACAAAGCCACACACATACAGTATTTAACAGGCAGCTCTTTACAAAACGTCCCTGCTGGTGGTTTGTCCACAGTTGGTTCCTGGATTTTGGGATTTTCTGTCAAGTTCTACCCCCCAGACCCATCTGTGCTCATCGAAGACATTACCAGGTAGGTCGGAATACAACAAGAGGGAAGAAAACATTGGTTTGTTTTGGTTGGATAAGCTAATATGCTGAGTTGTGTAGAGTACAGTTTTGTTTTGGCAGCATATTTCTTTGCTTACCTTGAGAGATTAGGCTATAGTGTTCTTTCAAATTTTATGTGCCAAGTAAGATGTAGTATAGGAGTGGGGTTTAGGAAGTGTTTTTCATAAAACTTTCCTAAAACAGTGTCTGAGTTACTCTTTATAATCCACAGAGCACAGTAGTATTCTCACTGGAACTACTTTCTTACAAATATAGTCTCTATAAATACCGTTGGCATGGTTGTTTTTAAAGTTTACCTTAACACTCATTTTCTGAGACTTATATTGTACCTGGATTTTTTTTCTGGGAAGCCATGTTGTCATACTGTATGCTTTTTTTTTTTCAAAGAGCATTTTCCTATCCTTTAAATACAAACAAAATTCTACCTCTGCTCTATTGGACCGAAATTCTGAGAGGCTAATATCTGAAAACCTTTACTAAAAGTGGTGGGGGTATGTAGAAAAAAGTCTCGTGGGAGGATGTCCTACATTTTTCATAGCTTATCTGATTAGATGTTTATGGATATTGACTATACCAGACTGCAATTTGTTACTCGTTGTTATTGTTGTTGTAGTAGTACAGAATATAAACAGTCAGGCCACGATTGAATGAACACCATCACCTGGGTTGCTCTAATAGCTTTGTGAGACTGTATTGTGTTGCAGCCAAGCTTTGAGCTAAATGCTAATGTTGGCATGCTAACACACTTGTTGCTTGTTATGACAATGCAAACATGTTGCTGTTAGCGGGTTTACAATGTTCACCATCTTAGTTTACTGTTAGCAGCACTTGCCAATCAATTAGCACCAACAACAAAGTATAACTGAAGGTAACAAAAACACAATTAGTCTTTTAGGTATCTGGTCATGAAGTTAAATTCAGGGGAATACCAAAAATAAATAATTAAGATTCATCCTCTGAATACTAGCAATCTATCTAATAGTTGCTGAGATATTTCAGTTTTCACCAAAGTGCTGTACTTACACTGCCATCCACAGAGGCTGAGAACAATTCCAGTGGTTCTTACAGATATATCCTGATAATGACGGTGCATAACTCTTGAAGACAAATGTTAGCAGGATCTCTGTCTTTCTTCAGGTACTACTTGTGCCTACAGCTGAGGGATGATATCCTGTCTGGTCGTCTACCCTGCTCGTTTGTCACCCATGCCCTTTTGGGCTCCTACACTGTCCAGGCTGAACTGGGAGACTACGAGCCCGAGGAACATGGCCCCGACTATGTTAGTGACTTCCGCTTTGCCCCCAACCAGACACGTGAGCTGGAGGAGAGAGTGATGGAGCTTCACCATAACTACAGGTCAGAGGAAAATATGACTTCATTAATTAAATTAAATGCCATGAGGATAATGGGAGATGCTGGTGTTTTTGATTTGTTCCATCAATAATGGGTGACATTTGTGTTGTAGGGGAATGAGTCCAGCAGAGGCAGAGGTGAACTTTCTAGAAAATGCCAAGAAGCTCTCGATGTATGGAGTGGACCTGCATCATGCTAAGGTACATGCTCCGAGTTTTCAACTCTCAATTAACTTTTATTTGAGCTTTTTTTTTAATGATCTATTATTGTGTTAATCAGGATTCAGAGGGTATTGACATAATGCTTGGTGTGAGTGCCAATGGCCTACTCATCTACCGAGACCGTCTCAGGATCAACCGTTTTGCCTGGCCAAAAATCCTCAAGATCTCCTATAAAAGAAGTAACTTCTACATCAAGATCCGCCCTGGAGAGGTAAATAAAAACTAACATTATCTTGAATCTTGCTCGACTTAGTAGAAGTTCACTGTGCAGTTATTGCATGCACAGCACTACTAGAACAGCTCCTGACTATCACTCAGGCAAAACCATGGCAAGTGGAATGACAGATCATTTGGTAAAGAGCCAAATTCATATTTGTATTTCACGGTTTCACACTTGTTGAAATGACATCATTGTCTCTCTTTAATTGCCCTAAGCAGCATAATTAGTCATTTCATGGTTTGTGTTATTTTCAGATTTATCTGTCTCAAACCATGTGACAAGTGACGGAGTACATTTTCAGAAATCATTTATAGCCCTCAGTGATACTGTTCTTAAAGATTAAGCTGATAAGTCATGTTTTTATTCTTCTCCTCCTACTCTCTTCCACTATGGTGACTATAAAGCCTGATTAGACAGTCTTGAGGATTTGCACTTTCATCAAGGATTTTACTTGCAAGAGGTAGAGCCACAATATGCTTGCTGTGGCTTTCAGCTCCCTAAAATTATTGGAATTTGCTGCTTTTCATTGGCCTGAAGGTTATCTGCAGTGTGTTTTTATGCCCACTGTTAAACTAATATCTGCACAGTCAATCGCAAGACCATTCAGTGCATATGCTTTGTTCTGCAGATTTATCCTATTAAAGGTAGGGCTGGCAATACTGGACAGGCAATTAGGCCATTCAGTGGTTTTGCATGGGACAAATAAAATTATTGCCCTGCTGCTGCCACATATGATGGACCTTTTCTTTATGTTGTCATTGCATTTAATGTATTCATTACCATCAGGATGAAAAGAGGAATTCATGAAATGTAACAAAAATGCTTCTGGAAGGAATCACTAACCCTGCTTTTAAGTGCACTGTCACTTCACATTTGCCCGGGGGGGGGGGCCATCAGTGTGTTTTAAAGCCCTTTTTTTTTTCCTAAACATCCCCAGAGAATTTTTGTGTGGAACAAATGTTGGCTTTTTCTCGTAAAAGGCCCACTCCTAATGTTTAAAGGCCTATTATGCTGCTAATAATCTATTGATTTGAAAGCATCTTTTTCGGTTCGCACCACTGAACTTGTAATGGAGTGCACGAACAGCTAATTCATAGATTGGTTACCTGACACTGCAGCAAGAGAAGCGAGCATTTATTTCTACGAGTAAACAGAAAAACAACATCAATTATTCCATTGCTGTGGAGTAAACACAATTCACCCTGACACCTTTCTCTGCACTCACTTCACTCTACTTTTCTTCTTCACCCTCCTCCTTCCTCCTGCACTACCTTCACTGATCAGTATGAACAGTTTGAGAGCACCATTGGCTTCAAGCTGCCCAACCATCGGGCTTCAAAGCGATTGTGGAAGGTCTGCATTGAGCACCACACCTTCTTCAGGTAGGGTGTGACACTCACAGATACACAGATCTACTTTTTCTGCACATAGGTCTTTGCACCCTGCATGTATTGTTAACACTTGGCAGAGCTATCCTTCAAGTGACACTCCTCCTTAGACAAATGGGTTGATTCCTTGGTCTTTGATTCCATGATAATACCTGTTTTTACAGGCCCCATAATTCCGTAGAATTTTCTTGAAAGGAACAAGATATGTAACTGTACATTCATAGAAAGTTTCCTGAGGAGGACTAGATAATTGGTTAAAACTACAGGGAAAATGGAGATGGAGATCAGCTGATATACAAACAAAATTCAATCAATTATATTGTAACCTAGGGAGTCTTTTAGTCAGTACACAGCAGATTGCCTGAACTTGAAAAAATGTGAAATTTGTCCACAGACAACACCTGTGTAGTAAGTGTCTAATAATTAACGATTATTTCCTGGGGTTTAAATAGTCAGTGCAACAGTCAAGTGAGATGAGGAGCAATATGACTAATACCTGATAAATGATAAATATGAAGCTACATGGAGGAGATGGTTAACTTGCATGTAATTTACTACTAGAAACAAGGATAAACCATTAGCCACCCTGGCTCTCTATGAAGGTAACAAAATCTGCCTATAATGTTGTGGTTTTACAGGGCTAAACCACAATATATCCTGTCTTAACTTTTGGTCTCTGCTGGCTGCCTGGCAACCTCAGAGATTTTGGGTGAATGTCAAGTTGCTTATTTGCATCCATGTGTACTTGCATCCTTTCTTTGAGTGTTAATCTCACACACATTAAAATGAACTAGTTCACGTTCATAGTTGGTTTTGAATTTTGAACTGAGCTCACAGCACTGAAAAATGAACTAGTTCAGATTCATTTCTTCTGTTTTTATGTTTCAAACAAGGTGCTCTGAGCAGTAGAACATTTTTCTGTAGAACCTGCTGCTACCTTTGTTATCCTGGTCCTCAGATTCAGTTCAACTTTAAAACAAGTGTCCAGTAACATTATTTTACAGGTCATAATTCAAAATTCATGCTCAAGTTCATTAGTTACGAACGGATCCTTTCATTCCCCCCTTCACCAAAAAGTAGAACGTGTCCAATGAACAGTGCGTTCATGCACAACACTAACTTCATACGTATATACTGTACAGACATGTGAGAGGCATATTGTTCTTTTCTCATCTAACATGTCGCAAGAAAACAAATAAGTCTATTTCCCCAAATGTTAGACAAACATTGTAGGACATTCCTCTGGCAATCAATACTAATGGAACAGCAATAAAAACTAATAATAGAGCTTGTTTTCATTTCTCATAATTGGTACAAAATATCATGTCATTCTTTTCAAATGTTATGGGAGATTCTTAGGAAATTGGGCACCAATAAAACAGAATTATACCTCTTTCTCATTTCTATATCGAACTTTAAACAGTGTTAAGTATAAGATATCAACAAGGTGCAGAATCTGAGTATCTGTGGTAGACTTACACAAATCTTCCTGCAGGTTGGTTTCTCCAGAGCCACCTCCCAAGGGTTTCCTGGTGATTGGCTCCAAGTTCCGCTACAGTGGGCGAACCCAAGCCCAGACTAGACAGGCCAGCGCTCTGATTGACAGACCTGCCCCACAGTTCAATCGGTCTGTTAGCAAGAGGTACATGCTGCCTCGCAGCATTGATGGAGGTGAGTTACCTCAAGTTTCACACCTTTCCTGGATTATGTTATGTGAGGCAATTACCAGGCTCCAGACCCTCAGCTTTAGAAAACAAGTTGATGGATGGCAGTACATGCTTGAAAACATACTTTGACTCCCTGACATATAAATATTTCAGCAACTGCATTTATTAATTTTGGGTCATGTCATCTAATGTTAATGTGAACGGAGAGTCTATCAAGTCACTGAGTCTCATGTTATGTGAGCCTAAAACTCCACTGCAAAAGCAGAAACTAGAGCAGTTTTTAACTTGTGAATTTTATTATGCACAGTCCACGCGTCCCTGTAAAATGCTTTACAGCAGATCGTCATTGCAACACTGTAGGTGACTGATTGTTACCCTCTCATTACTTGACCAGCCTCAGCTCTAGGTGACAGTATGGACCAGCTGTCCCAGCGAAGCTCTAGTGAACGTACACAGTTCATGTCCAGAGAAGACCTGGACCAGGAGGGCAGTATGGACCTGGACCACGATCACTACCACTATTCGGACCAGGACCAGTACATGGATCAGGCGCTAGAGCAGGGTGAAAGTCAAGATCAGAAGCAGGCGTGGGGCACCAACATGTCGACATTCTCCAAAACTTTAGAACTCAAGGTACACAATGACAGAATACAGCACTGTTCAGATACTGCACACATAGACTATCAACACATTCCCTTGGTGTATAGGTGCTAAAGCTACTTCTGTTGAACCACAGCCTTGTCAGTTTAAATGAAATCAGCATTCAACTGGCAACTGAAATCTTGCACTTGTAAAAACTGTATCCCAGGGAAACAAAGCACTTCCTTTGACCCATTTTGCTTTAAACTAACAATCCTCATCCTTCTCGCTTGCATTTCTTAAAAAAAAAAACATTTTCTACTCCTCTTCAGTCTTATGAGACTTCTCAGTACGAGTTCTCTCTGCTCATTATTTCTTAAACTGCCTCCCAAAATCTAACTTGACCTCTTTGCTGCACGTTATGACTTTCTAGTCCAGCATCCTGCCTCTTAACAGTTCTTCTCCTCTTGCTACTGTAATGTTGACAATCTTTGCTAAGCTCTGCTCTCTTTCTCTGACTCCTGTTCTCCACCTCGACCTGTCCTGCAGGGTGAGGAGGCAGGCTCGCATGTAGACTCCAAACCAGAGGTATTTTGGTGTTGGACCTTAATATTTGTCTGTGCGGACAAATGGTTTTTGTAGGTCATGCACCTGCAGTGTGTGTCTGTTTAGCATGACGCGTCACTTTTTGATTGTTTGTCTCTGGAGGGGATGTTCTTTCTTTTCTTCCAGGAGTATATTCCATGGAGACTGCCTGAACTCATTTTCAGATAAATAGACATAAAATGTTTAATATACATTTATTCAGACTTTTCCTCTGCCCACTGGGAAATGGTTTCAGTGGAAATTCGCATTAGGTATTAGAGTACAACTTGAGTGGAAAAAGTTCCTTTTTCAATTGTAAACACATGTTCCAGAGCTTGCATCTTTAACAGCCCCCCTGTGTGAAATCAAGGATAGATTGTTATTGGCAAGATAAACAGATGGTCCTTGAGCACTGTGGATGTTTCAGTAAATTAGTGGTTCCACTGTAAACAAATTTCCTGTTACTCCAGCTACAAAGCGCAAAAATCTCATTAATTTTATTCGATGAATAATTTTACTGGCTTTTTAAATATATGCTCTTATTTGTTGTAAAGAGACACACAATCACATTTATATAGTATAGGTTATTCCTGTGTATCTTCTCTGCATCATTCCTGTGCAGATGTGTGGGTGGTAATGTTAAGTAGGTCAGGACATAGTAGCATCGCATTAGTCGCTAAATGGTCTGTTAATTTGCGGTTTTGTGATGCCTTCTCACCAATGCTTTGGATGAAGAAGTATGGGAATAATCCCCCTCTCCAAGCACTTAAGTTCAGTCAATACATTACTGCATTTATTATCAATTGGCTGAGAATGAAATGGATTCTTCCTGTCTTCTTGGCAGAACATTAAATGGCTTAAAGGTCTCAGGCACTTAGTCCAAAGCCCCGATGGTGTCATCTGTTTCTGTTTGTCTGTCGTCTGGCCGCCGGCCTTTTGGACTCACCTGCAGCACTTTACCTCTTTGTCTCTGCACGCATCTGTTCTCTGCCTCTCAATCCTCAACTTCCTGCTTTGCTCCAAACCCTTCACTTCATCCCACTTGCCCCACTTCATGCTCCCTCATCTGTTGGACAAGGATCTGGCCACCCCTCGGCCCAAACAGGAGGTACTGCTTGTTCTCTCTTTTTTGGCATGTGTTGTGTGTGAGACCCTGACTAAGTGTGCTGTTTCTTTATTCATAATTGTGCCTGCCCCTTAAAATAAGTTTGGTGTATTACTGCATAAACACATTAGTTCAGAAAACAAAATACTTCAGAATTTATCTCTTAGTACTTTATTATTTCTGTAGTTCCACAGTTGTACATATCAGTTTATCTTCTGAATGCTAGTACTGGTTAAAATCTTTTATCTATCTAGTCCTAAACGAGTTTGGGCCTCTCTTTGTCTACAGTGCTGCAAGGTAAAAAAAAAAAAGATAATACTCATGATCCTAAAGACCTCTCATCCAGCCATGTAGTACAGTATTTAATTCATCCTATAGCGCTGTTATAAAACAGACAATCATGTACCACTTTCTCATTAGAACAAAGTTGATACATAGATTAAAATGGAAAAAAAACACCTAATAGATTTAGGATTAGGGTTTTAATGTATGCTAATTTGTGCTCCTGGTGTGTCCTTCACTGTGTGAGCAGCAGTTCTTGGATAAACCAGAAGATGTTCTACAGAAGCACCAGGCCAGCATCAATGAGCTGAAGAGGGCCTTGAGGCAGCCCAACAGCAAGATGGCCCAGAGGGAGAAACGCCTCTCCTCAGCTACCCCTCCTGGAGGAACCCCTGAGCGGAAAGCAGTAAGAATAACATCCTGTTCCCAAGCATTATACTTACTGTACTCTCATTAGTATCATATATATGTATATATAAATATATAATGTCTTCCTTTCCAATTCTCTGTCAAAACACAGAAAATCAGAAACAAAAACATACTGAAACATAAGGGATGCACAGTTACTTCTTGAATCGTTATTTAATCTACAGTATTTATGTGGGGTAACAATATCAGAAATCGAAGAGCACTATATCTAAGTAGGCTAATGAAACTGTTTACTCTATGACAAACAGGATGCTTATGAAGGAGCCCTGGATACTTACTTGAAAGCAGAAAAGAGCAAGACATCTTCTGTGGGTAGAAATACATTTGCAGTCGCATCTTGGACTGAAGGAAATATGAACAACTGTCAAATACCCTGCGACCCTTTCAGAACTAAACCTGGAACACTTCCAAAACTTGAAACAGACTTCACAGCAGCAGAACTAAGAAATATGAGGCCTGTGGGTAAAAACCTGGCAACAGATTGGTATCATGATTCTGTATTTGAAAGGAATGCCATTCAAGAAAATGGATATGGATCTCCTCTGGACAAACAGAGGAGTGTAATGAACAACAGAGATGTGAGGGCTTGTCAGTATGAGCACAACATTTATCAAGAGAGGCCAAAGAACTCTGAAACTCTGGTGGTTCTGGATTCTCTCGCAGAGGGCAATGATGCCAGAATTGAGAGTGACACAAGGCTTTGTGAGACTTGCAAAATAAAAGACCCAAGCCCCATGAGAGACAAGGATTGCAACAAAATTGGGAAATCTCAGTCAGAAGTCGCCAAATTAGTCCCTCTCAAGCCACGGAGATCAAAGAAGTCTCTGAATAAAGTTGCTGTAAACCCTCAAACTCAAAGCCAGTCTGACAGAGGCATGCTTGGTGTGGCTGAGGATGTACAGATGACAAAATTAAAAGATGGATGTTGTGCAGCAGGAAGGAGAGTGGATGATAAAAATGTACTGCAGTCTGCCATGGATGATGTCAATGAAAATACAGCAGTCACCAAATGCCAGAGTGAAACTGTGGTGTCACATCAGCAGCAAACACATCTGCATCAGCAGATTAAGAATGAGCTGTTTGGACAACAGGAGCTTAGGGAATGCACAGATACAACAGGGCAAAGTCAGTGGAAAAGAGGTGTGCTACATGATGACAATCTTCAAGACAACTCAGAGTTTAAAGAGAATCTCCTCTCTGGCTACAAATTTCCAGTAGCTCCCCCCCAATCTCTTCCTCTGAAAACACAGTGGTCCCGAGACAAACAGAACAACCTGGACAACAGCCACATCCACTACAGGACACCCAGCCAAGAAACAGCCAAGAGGAAGCACGCGGTAAACCACCTGCCTCGAATCTGTTTGCCAGTCATCGGAAAGTAAAACATTGCATGAGCTTGAGGCGATGTCATGCGAATCTTGTTTTTACCATCTAAAAACAAAACAAATCACACACGCTTCAGAACTCATGTGGCTGTGTATGAGAAAGCAAAAGTTCACATTCCTTCGCATCGCATCATTGACTGACTCAGTTCACGTCCATGGCCCAGGGAGCCTTTTGCTTTCCCTTGTTCCCCTCTACAAAGCTTGGCATCTGCTTGGCCATTTCAGAACCCTGCAGGCCTTTAAGCAAAGTCCCCATTGCTTAAGCTTCAGGCGTCAGTTGTATTCCACCTTAACTTGTCACGTTAACACCTGGTCTCCTTCCAACATCCTCACAGAATAAAGGTGGCTGCTGTTGCAAGGAACACAAGACCTTTCGACCATTTTTATTTGAGGCCTCTGTTTCACATAATTTAAATCCTTTTTATAAATGGCTGATAAGGGCATTTGAAGCAAATGTTCTGCCTTGGCACCTCTGTAGCAATAGCAGAAAATGAAAAAGGCGATTAGATATAATCACAGGCTGCAGAGCTGCCAAACTCTTCAGGGCATAGGCATTCATACTGCATACTGCATTTATGAATATGAATACCTTTTTCCTGAAAGGAATTTTGAAAAATCTAACACTTCAGTGCATGGCATTAACAATTGCACTTGCAGTCATTTATTTTTTTAAATGATGTGAATCTGTGAAATGTGCATGTGTCTGACAGTAGCCTTCAGCTTTTGAGTCTCTGGGAATTCTCATGTGTTTGAGCAAATTTAATATAACCCCTGAAGCTGATGGATGAATTAAGCATTTAAATATTATAAATACTAATACAGTGAAAGCATTAAATTAAACAAAGGTCATTCTGTAAATCTGATAAATAATGCTTTGATGAGTCGTGTGCTGCTGCACCTTGTTGATGCTGTGCCAAAGAAAACTGCACAACTGTTTCTGTTCTATCCTTTTAATGTAATGACACGGTAGCTACAGTATAGATGAGTTTTGGTAGTTGTCGTTGCCATGAATTGCTTTATTAGTTTTATATTAATGTATTCTTGTTGTTTGTTTCTCTTCCATAGGAGACACCTCCCACACCCGCCATTCACGAGAAGCCCCTCAGCGAAGCTTCGGTGAGTTGCCCTCAACTAATGTTTATTTTTCCCCCCCTTTTTTTTTGTCGCTCCTCTGGAAATGAGTAAACAAAGTACACTTAGTTATTTAAAACATTTTTCTTCAAGATGTTTTCATTAGCAATGTAGTTTTTATGGGCAATCTGTGGAAATGTCACTTTTAATCAAACCCCACTATCAAAACTCAAATTACAGAATTTTAAACTGCTAAAAATACACAGTGGCTAAAACTGATTGTTTTGTTTATGTAGGTAAATACTGGAAAACAGGCCTAAATTTTTAATTCTGACTAGCAGGGGAACATAGAAATGCATTTTTCCAGCTTGCATTCTTTGATTATACAAGTAAATCTACCTATTGTATGAAATTCGAATATGGTATTAAACTGCACTACAGTATACACAAGACTGCATTATCTGTCCATCTTTTCTGCAGAGGGAACCATGGGAGAGACGTCTGGGCTCTGTTTCGGAGGATGACCAGGACCATGAGATCCTGTACCTCAAGGAAACTCATCTGGGCATTGAGCGCAAATGTTCCAGCATCACAGTCAGCTCTACATCCAGCTTGGAGGCTGAAGTAGATTTCACAGTGCTCACAGACCTGCACACAGGGATGGAAGAGTTCTCCAGGGGCATGTCAGAGCTGGGAGAGAGGGATTTGTCACCTGATGGGGGTCTGTGCTTGGGCATCGACTTGCTCCAACAGCAGGGCCCTTCTGAACCACCTCCTCCATTAGTGTCAGCTCCCCTGTCCAGAGGAGCCGGCAGCAGCCCTCCGGCCAAATTTATCCAGGCTGAAGAGGCTCGACCGGAAGTAAAACGATCCGATGTGCAGGTAGACAAAGTTCTTCTATCAAGCGGGTTTGGATAATTTAAAAGCTTCTTCTCCTGAGAAAAACTATGCTACTTTTAGCCTCCTAAAAATATGCATGTTGGTCTTCTTTCAATCAAACTGCAGTGCCAATCTAAATATGGGTGTGAACATAATCTGTTAAATTTTTTTTTTTTTGGAAATACCTGCAGTGTTTCTTTAGTTGAAAGAACATGAGTCAGACCAGATTTCCATCCTCCCCAACCCCCCCTTCATATAACACCAATGTATCACCCTCTTAGTGCTACCCAGGTTTCCTGCAAAGTGTGATGACAGGCCACCAAAGTGAGCTGTTGATGGCGCAAATTCTGTTTAAAAAGCTCTAGTTTGCCTGTTCAGTCAAACAAAAATAGAGCAGATACATTTATATTGTTAAACTTCTTGTGTGGTCACATCACATTTATGATTTGAATTGTCAAAAAAAGCTGTAAAATGTAAAGGGCTAGAACTATGTGTTGATGCTTCTGATACACTGAAATTTAACAAAAGAGCAGAGAAAGGAGTAAGTGACTAAGGAAACATATAGAGTTAACATATTGAGTTTGAGCTTGTTCAAGCAGCAAAAAGTAAAACTTGATTCTTTCTTCTCTCAAGCCTGTAGTTCCCAAAAAACCAAAGAGGTCAGTGCCAGTGTCATCGTCGGTGGACAGAGAGCAGTCGCACAAAGATGCCAGTTGCACCCCTGCTGTCACACCACTGAGCAGGGAGGCCAGTGATGTCATGCCCACACCCGCAGTGAGGAAGACAGACGTCAAGACAGAAACTCAGCCCAATGGGTCAGAGGTCATGACAACCATAGTGGAGTTTGCAGATCAGGTTAGTTACACATTTTAGTGAGAAATATTATAAATGGAAAAAAAATGAAGTAGAACTGAAAATAATGAGCATGTTCTTCAACAACCCCTTTTCCGAAAACATTGATGCTGTGTAACATGCTAATAAAAACGGAATGAAATGATCTGCATAACATTTAAAGCCTCTATTTAATTGAAAACAGTACAAAGAGAACATCAAATGCTGTACTCACTCTACATTTGATGTCAGCAGCACTTTTCAAAACAATTTGGGATGGGGGCAGCTTTACTTCTGTGCCGCATCGCCTCCATACTGTTCACTGTTATGAAGCTGCATGACGGTTGTTCTCAAATACAAGGCGGCACATAATGAATTTGTCTGTTTCAGGATCGTGGGATCACTAGCCTAAGTGAAGTTTCTTATTCTACAAGACAAAGTGTATCCCCTGTGAGTACAAACAGAAAAGACCTCTCCAGCTTTAGCTCAACCTGCAGCACACTCAGTCCTGCTCTCCAAGGTTTAAAGCCACGAATTTGTAAATAAGTGTGTCTCTGGATGTTCTTATCCAAGACTTACTGTAAACCTGTCTCTAAATTTCTGATGATTTGTGTGTGTTTACAGAATATGCTTAATACTGCTGGCTGTTCTTTCTCAGGTGCATATGAGCAGTCTCGGAAGAGAGGCATCAGATTCGCCCATCCTCGTCACTGAAAACGTGACCTCTGAAACCACTCAAGTCACTAAGGTAGACAAGAATAAGTGTCACTTGCAAAGCATACATCCTCAAGAACTGTGATAAAAACTAGATTTTGCAACATTAGGCGGTGTACTGCATTTCTTTTGTATGAATACAGTTTAAAAAAAAAAACCCATCTGTGTTACAGACAGTGAAAGGAGGATATTCGGAGACAAGGATCGAGAAGAGGATAATAATCACAGGAGACGATGATGTAGACCAAGAGCAGGTGAGCTGAAAAAAGGTGTGGATGAAACAATAAAGCCAAAACAATCATGTGCATGGTAATTGCTGGTTATGCAAGTTTTTGGACCTTTGTAGATAGGAAATATGTTTCTAGCAGTAAGGGTTTTTAGTGTCTTATATTTTACACATACTTATCCTTAATATACTATAAAATATCCTTAAATGTAGACACTGACATGCTAAAAAGTGGGTGTTTAAACCCTGGATTCTTGCATACGCTATTGTATGCATTTTTTGTAAACATTAGCCTACAGACCATTAGCAACAGATCAACATCAGCCTACTTCAGTAAATTCAGACACTAAATAGATGCATTAAGTTTATAAATTAAACATGCAAAGAAAACTGTGCAAGTAGGGCTGATATTATTTTCATTTTTAGTTAATCTAGTGATTAAAATAGTGAACTACATCCACTATAGCTTCCCATTGCCCAAGGTGACGTTAAAATGTCTTGTTTGTTTGACCAACAGCAGAATACCCAAAGATATTCAATTTACAATATCATATGACAAAGAAAAGGAAAAAAATTCCCACATTTGAGAAGCTGGGACTAGAGACAGTTTTTTCCGTTAGTTTTGCTTGGAAAATGATTGAAACTATTAGTCAAGTGTCAGTATAGTTTTTTGTTTTTTTGTCACAAAGCTTTATTTACAAGCATAGAAAATGTTTCAGTGTGGAGCTATAACACAGAAAACAAATCTGAAAAACACCTTGTATGGACTTTTGTACTCAGTGTTTAAACACAGTTCACTCTCTCCCTGCAGGCTCTGGCTATTGCAATACAGGAAGCCAAGCAACAGCATCCAGACATGCAGGTGACAAAGGCAGTCGTTGTCAGGGAAACCGAATCGTCCACTGAGGACCAACATGGAACATCAGAGGTACAGGTGCCATCTTGCCTCCATAACATAATATCTACCACACTTTAGCCCCACATCTTCCTTTGAGGTTCAGGGGATTTAAGCTTGACTCTCTTCTTTTTTTTTAATTTTTTTCTGCAGTCCTGATTTCCTAAGATGAGTGTGCCCCCCTTTGGACCAGAAGTATAAGTGCCCAACCTGAGCTTGCCACTCACCATCCCTACTGTTAGACTACTGCCAGTAGTGCTCAGTTGGAGCCTCTTGCCTGCGTTCGCACAGACACATCTGAAACAGGACTTCTTTAAAATTTGTATGTTTTTATTTTTATTTAAACATTTTATTAATTAAGTCAAGTTCAGCGTAGTGGTGGTTGGCAGATGTGCTACAAAAAAGTTAATCATCACATGGTTGTCGACAGTATGACACCAGAATTCCAAACAGCCGGAACAATTAAATAGATAATCCAACTAAATTCCCCTCAAAGCTCTCAGGGCCTTTAGATTCAAATCACTTGATTCAGTATTCCTCAATGGTCAAAGAGAATGGTGTAGAAGGCGTTTGCTTCTGATAATCTGCGCACACTGTGAGATAATCCAAGATAACGTGTTACATGGTACACACGTCATGCATCCCATGCAGAAAGATTAACTTGGAAAAAAAAACAATGGAATGCCCTTTACATGTTTGTCCTGCTGTCGTCAATAACAACAAATCCCCAGACTCCTGATGTGCTAAAAAGTATCTACTGCGTGTGCTATAAAATGTTAACAAGTTAAAGAATCTTTTACATGTAGCTCCAGTACTGCTACAGCATCCAGTGAAGCAGGGTTTAGTGAGAGCAGAAGCAATTCTATGTTTAGTTTTCATTCCTGCAGCCAGTCAAATGAACAAATGAGCTATAGCCCACCCCCATTACACTGATTGATGAGGATGCACTAATTGGAAGGAAGTGTGTTGTACCCGAGGTCCTCTCTTAGTGTTTATTCAAGTGTTTAAGGACCAAGCTTGGAGCTGATCTGATTGCTGTCCTTCCTTCGATCTGTCTCACTTAAGATTTTACTTTTGTAAAATGTATTTCATGATGACATGTGGGTGGCCAGTATGCAAGGCTATGACTCGAGTTGCTGCATGGTGATGAACTTTGATTGTACCTTCTGTGCATATGTCTGGACATTAGGAGCTGTGTACAGTGTACTTGTTATTCAAACGGTGGCAATGTAGTTTCTGAGCATGTTTCACAATGAGCCCAGTTTCTTACTATTCCCAGGGTTTACATACTATACTTTCAAGCAGGGTCTGATGCCACATGGGCCATTTTGTTTAATAAGTACATAAAAGCAGGCTCACACCTTTGTTCAAGTCACAGAACAGGCTGCTGCACCAGTAAAACTAGTAGATGAGATGTCTGCATGATAATTTCTTGCATTATTAGATTGTAATTGATTAATATGGATATTAACTCATATGAATGATGGATTATGAAATGGAATGCAACAGGATATGAAGAGTATTCATCAGAATAGGTGCAAGTGAAATACCAAGCACACAACGCATTAGGTTTTAATTCCCACATCCAGCGATGACACTCGGGCTACATTTTGATCCTTCTGCTACAATGCGTTTGATTTTCATCTAATTTCAGCCAGTGACGCCGTTTTAGTGTGTTAACACATCGGTTGGCTTTGAATCAATTTCCCTGTAATGCCTAAATTTAGTTGTGCTAACTGATGTTTTATCATAACTGTTTCTTCTATAACATTTCTTCATTTTTATAGATTCCCTGTGGAAACTGTGTCATGGCTCAAAGCCCTTCCAATACTTATTCCAGTGCAGTGTTATAAATAAAATATACAGTAGGAGCAGCATCTCTGAACTTTTAGTTGTGTGATTTGGTACATGAATGTTAGAGTATTATAGTGTGCCAATTAAGGTAGCAGTCAAACTGTACAAACTCTGGTTTTTGTATGAAATAACTTTATATGAACAAGCTACTTTTAATTATAAAAGTGCTGGAAAGTCAAACGCATAAACTTGACATGGCAAAGTTTCCCTTTAATTAGGGTACACTTATATTACCTGCAAAACTAATCTCCCTGCTAAAGTCATTTTTATACAAAAGTCATGTATTTAAATCAATACATGCAAAATACTCATTTGACTGAAAAAACATGTTACAAATGGTCATGTCAGGTTTATAAAAGTATTACTACGGTACTGTAGGACCCTGGCTTACAGACACTAAACTTTCAGTCAGTGTTCACATGTGTAATGTAATTCCTGTTTCATATTTTAGAAACATTCCAAATCCTTTACAGTGATGGATGTGGGTGTCAAATTGAAAGGTGTGGGGAAAAAAAATAGCAGCTATGCTTACCTGGTACTGTATATTTGGTGGCGTTTGGTGGATTGTGAAGATATGAAGCAGTTAAGGGCCTTGGGCTTGATGTACACTAGGGGGCACCGGTTACCTAAAGGAGAAGAGCTTTGCAACAACATCTGGCATACCCAACTGAAATCCCTCATACCATCCTTCACTAAGGGACAAAATATATTCAAATCGAACTTGGACCCATCTCTGACTTACCTCCCTCTGTCCAGATAAAGCTTTCTCCTGGGAGTCTGGCAATAACCAGACTGTAATTAATCACAGACACATGGCTGTGGCTGAGGCACCTGGTGCTGCAGTTCGATTGGGAGACCTCTGGCTGACCTTTAAACCTAACCCAATCCTCTCTGTACACAGCCCTCCTCTTCCACAGCAGCTTCATCTCTTCTGCTCTCCATTGCTTGGTTCTGTGTCTTTGCTGTACATTGTACTTGCATTCCTTCGAAATGAATAAAGAGGGAAAGAAAAAAAGAACAAGATGAGAAGGGAATCCTTCAGTTTTATTTCTACCATGTATGTGATTGTCCTATTGCAGCTGGTATGTGTCTCTAAGCTCAACTAACTTTAAGCTGTTTCTGGTAGCAGTTGTTAAATTCTGCAGTTACATTCCACAGCTAAGAGAACATTTTAAAATTAGATATACTGTACAGTACATACACAGTAAACCCAATCTGTGTTAAATACCAACATTGATCTTTAGTATTTAGTCAGGTTAGTAGTAGTGGTTCAGGTTTTTATACAGTAACACAAACTGAAAACACCTTACCTCAAGTCCCACTTGCTAGATTTTTCCTGTGCAAACTCCATCTGCTAAGGTGGACCTAAGACTGAGTTGCCTAATGAGGAAGCGGCTCTTACATTAAAAAAAAATACACTACTTTTGGCCTCTTCTGACATCAAACACAGAAATAAGGAAAATGGCATTATGTTTATTAAAAGCAGCTTGATCCAATCAGACATCCTAAGCCACGTAGGTACATACATCGACCAATCTCATGCCAAACAGCAGCTGACAGTAAAATACCATCCCTAGTTTGTAATTTCCAAGTTAGAAAACTTAGCAATCACTGCCACTTGTACTATATTACAGTGGTCATCATGAAAGACGAAGGAGAAAGGCATGTTTGAGCCCAAAACGCCCAAAACTATGATCTAAAATGGTGAAAAGTCTCAACATAGCCATAGTAAGGTCAGTTATTCATAAATTATAGCATGAATGAGCCAAAACACGACATGGATAAGCACAGAAGGAAAATAACATGTTTCCTGAATACTAAAAACATGGATAATAATCATAAGACTTAAGGCTCGTTTAGGACCTGAGGATTTCATACATACAGTGTACAATGATTCGGCTCACACTGCTCAGTGCGCCTTTTTCACAAACCTATCATGGATTAGGACAGAAGGTAAGACATAGATTAATCAACACAAGTCTGCTGTTTACAATGGAAGTCATATTGTAGGTGTACACGCTGCATTTTCTCACAATGATGCAACAAATGGAACTGAACCCTGGTGGCTCAATACCTTTGGTTCCAGTCAGTGTCATGGCAGTTCTGAGGTTTCAATGTAACGTGATGTAACATAAAAGCATGAACACAATCCAAGCAAAGTTTCAGTGGTCTTAATTTCTGGTTTGTCATAAAGCAATGAGGATTAACTCCCTGCTTTTCGCAAGGATTAGTAACAGTTTCCTTCAGTTCAGGACGTTTCCCAAAGACAGTCCAGAGAGATGAGGGAAAACAATCCATTTTGTTGTCTTAAATCAAGTTTAAATATATCTTCACTCATTTAAGAATGAGCTATGCAAGTACTTTGAACCACCTCCTTCCCTAGACAGATAAAATACCACCATCCAAGAACAGTCAACTACAAAGCATACATTCAGTTGGCAGTTTATTAGGTACACAGAGTTAAAATTAGTACAACCGTCCTGAAGTAAGTCCTCCTTTTATGAAGGTGAAAATGTTTAGTGCAAGTTGAAATGGTTGTAGAGCTGTTAATAAAACTGTCTGATCATTTTTGAGGTTGTAGTTTGTGCTGCTGTTGAACTGTATTACATTATACAGAGACATGTTTCTGTTTATCCTGGCCTTATTGATATGAAGAGTGACCAAAGCAACAGAAACAGACTTCAATGTGATGCAACAGAATTCAACAGCACCACAAAATACATCTTCTAACAGCTGAATCAATACCTGTCTAAAACAGTTTATACAAAAACTGATCATCATCGCGTTCATGGAGGGAAGATTTATTGCAGGACAGTTGTATTAGATTGCATTAATTTTAGCTAGGTGTGCCTAATGATCTGCCAACCGAGTGTACATATCCATTGAACAAAACCTGCACAGTCCCACGGAGAAAACACGTACACATCCTATTGTGCAACACAGAACACTGGGTCTCCAAGGTGAAAACCATATGAGAATATCCACTGGTTAGAAGGAAGCAGAGAAAATAAAGACCTTCAAAGAGACTGCAGCCCAGTCATGGTGTCCTTTCAGGTCCATAAAAGAGACTTCTGAAAGAGCCACCTCCTTTCAGTTACTCCTTTAGATAGGTGAAGGAAAAGTCTCCTCCTCACAAAGAGATCTTTGTAGAATGAAGAGGAAAGGGTAAGTAAGGTAGGGAGCAGAGGGAAATGTGGCTGTCAGTCTCTTGCTGTCTTTGACCTGCTGTTTCTCCTCTTAATAAGCAGCTGTAGCGCCTGGTTTCTGCAGATGTTTGTCATAGTACAGTCCTGGCTGTGAGGATTAAGGCTGCGAGGTTGACCAAGGGAAATGCAGAGGACTCTGGGGCTGCCCCTGTGGCTATGGAGCCTGAAATATACAAACAGATCTAAATCCAAAAGGTCTTGTATTCTTATTGTGTGGTGTGATCTAAAAATGTTTGAAAAACACATTGCTTTAAACATGGCTTAAATGTGAACTCTTACATGAAGGTTTCAAATAAATCAGTACAAAAAACAGCAAGCCAACTACATGCACAGAGAGAAGTGTGTGGTGTAAGTACACAGCTACAACCATAGATGGCACTAGTGCACTGCGCTCTATTATGGGGCAACTTTGAAAGAGCTTGACTAGTGCGGCAGGCGCAGCAGACAGTTTGATTAAAAGGAAAAAAAAACTAATTTCAAATAGCCAGTTATTGATATTTTTCCTTGCATGTCTGAGTCCATTTTGTTGTTTATATACTTCTCAGTTTGTGGATTAAAAAAAAATATTCTGTGGCTTGTTTACAGAATCTTAAGTAAAGAAAAAAAAAATTGCTTATTTGAAGAGCCATCATTACTGTATGTACCAATATTTAATGGGGGGGTGGAAGCCCTCATGAAATTGGCATCTCTGACTCATATCTATAGGCACCAGCTTCAAAAGATAACACAATGCAGCTGCAGAATACATTGTGTTTATAGTGCTAGATTTTTACAATCACACATTCGTCTTTGATTAATATCATCTCTGGGAGTTCTCAGAAACCATCTTACTGTAGATAGAAGAAACCAAATTAAAGAGAGCCAAAATAATTCCTTGCATGCTCTAAATACCTGAGTATGGGTTTCTGCAGGTAGATTTTTTTAAGACTGAAAACTAGCTCATCTGAACATCTGAGACATCATTTTTCATGTTTCATGTGTCAGGAGTGTCTCACCTGCTATCTTGGGGATGGTAATCTGGCGGCTGCTGCTGCCTTCCCCTCCCTCACTGAAGGGTTTAATCTGAATGACATAGTCCTGGTTGACTGGCAGTGACAACTCCAAGGAGGTTGTGTTGGTCTTCACCACACTGGGACGACTGTGTTTGTCCTGGCTGTACATCACCTACAGGGAGCAGAGAGGCACAGATAATAACAACATGAGCTATGGCATGAAAACACTTCAATCACAATGCATCATATAAGCAGTTTCCAAGTGTTCTTGTTGATGCACTGACAAGAATCCCTGAGTTCTAGCTTGTTTCTTTCTATGACCCTCTATGTATAGTAATGTGTTGCGCCTTGGAAGCTAATATAAATGAATCCAAATAGGTATCTGTAACGTGGCTGCATTATATCAGCAGAGCAAAGAGAAAGTAAAAGTTAAAAAGTATGGTTAAAGTAGTAATTAAATCCCAATTTTTCAGCTGAAGCTTGGTTTTGTATTGTGGAAGCACAAGCAGATAATCCCTTCAATATAGTGAGAATAAAAGGCAGCAGATGCAGGTGAGTTTTTAATTCTAAATATATGAGATGGGAAATTAATGTGATTTTAAATGAGACTTCAGTAAGATTCCTAACAACATGTAATGAAATCCTGCAAATAATTATTAAAAATCTATATTATACAAATGATGCTTCTATGACAAGTCAAATGCCACAGATGATAATCAGTCAACTGTTAACATGTATAAATGCTATATTTCCTGCATTCACTCCACTTTGGCCAACAATCTAAAACGTACCTAATATTATTCAGCTACATATTATACCAAAACCACTTGAAGTACATGAAATAAGTCTTCCTGTACTGTGCTTCCAAATTATGCAGGAAGTTTAGACACTTCCTTACTTATCAGCAAAATCAGTAGATTTATGAATTTGAGTGCAGTCAAAACTCATAAGAAAAAACTGTGTATTGATATGGAGTAAATAGATAGAAGGTAAATCCTCATTCACTTATTTTATCGTTTTTCAATCCTCATTTGACATGGAAGTCGTTCCGGTCTGCCATGATGAAGGACGGCCCAGCTCTTGTTTCTGCTCTGAGGAGTGAGGAAGCTGCCTGGAGGAGCTATAATTGAGGACACATGAGTGTATCCTTTGTGGAAGTCTGTTACGGATTGACGCCCCTTTATAGGAAATCAGTTTGTGATTGGACGATTCACATGAAGGGTCAGAGGAAAGGACGTCTCATTATCAGTTAAAATGCATTTCCCTCGGTTCCTCTTTCCTCACAGTTTGTCCTTGCATCTTTTCCTTGTGTCTTACGTGTGTGGGACTAAGATGCAAGCAAGGGAAATATCTGTCAGTCTCCATTATGTTACAGTCTATAATCATTCACTTGTCAGAGCTGCAGCTAGTTCGCACTCTCTTCTGTGTAAAATGGTCCACTTTTTACCTTATATCCTGTGACTTCAGACTCGTTCTCCAGAGCATGTACTTGGTCCCACTTCAGGATGACCTTGGAGTTGGAAGTGTTCCACATTATTTTGACTGGGGCTTGACTAGGTGCTAGAGTAAGACGATGGGAGAACATGAAGGAAAGGAGGGATAGAAACACAGTTAAAGGTACATTATGAAGTTTTTTTTTACCTCAGCTGGATACATCTCATCATCTCAGCTAGGCCTGCATATGAAATCATCCAGTGCGACAGTAAATTAAACTGGCATTTACATAAAACACTAGCCATGCCTGTCAAATGAAAGGACTGCTATGGTATATGACGTCCCTTAGTTTCATGCTGTTCACATTGATACAATATGAAGCAACGTGCCTGCAAAAAGGAGGTAATAAGAAACCTGCCAGGTGATGTAAACTTAAACAAAAATTGGATCTAAATAATTTACGACCGAGTAAATACCTATTTTTAGGTGTCAGCTATACACTGACTGTTAGTTCTAATGAAAACTCTACACGGCGCTCTTCTGTAGTTAATATGCCCTACTTTCAGTCCAAATGGTGAAAAGTTTTTGGTGAATGATCAATATACACAACAAATGAACCACGCACCAAGTCAGAGCTTTAAAACAACAGGAAAACAATGCACAAAAACACACAGTCCCCACAATATGCTGTGAGTGCTTACGTGGTTTCTTGGTTGTGACATTGACTATGTTGCTCTGTGGACCCACTCCAGCGCTGTTATAGGCCCGGAGAGACATATAATAGGTACTGCTGCCTTCGAGATCCTTGATGAGTACTGAAGTTTTATTCCCCACTGTCCTGATTACACTGGCTGTGTCCTGCTTCTCCCTCTCACCCCAGTATTGCAGCTAAAAACATACAAAAAATACACAGGTTACACGTCATCAGCTTGCTAGAGACAAAAAGATCATCAGATACACAGTAATGCCATTAGCTGCTGGCACTGTCCACTACATGTTATGTGGGCATGTGCTGGTTTGACCTCATAGCCGAGGATGCGTCTGTGGTTGTTACTCCAGGCCAGCGGCTTCCAGGTGACCTCTACCTCAGATGCCAATATGCTCCTTGCCCTCAGCCTCCCTGGAGCTCTGCTGGGCTCTGAAAGGCGCACAGGATACAGTCAGGGGAAGGAAGAAGACGTGGCTTTCCTTCAACCCAGG